CAAATCTCATTATGGCTTGAATTTTTTTAAACGTATCACCACACCAACTTTTAACTCATCATTGAACATAAGGAATTCAACCTGGAGTTGAAAATGAATAAAAACGTCTAATGCACTATCGTTCTTAAATTCTGTCGATTTAATCATCAATAATTCTCCCCTGGGTAAAATTTTAAGTTAACAGTCGTGGTATTCTTCTTATTTCTTTCAGTATAGTTTCTGAACTACAGATTAAATATTGCCTATAGAAAAACAAATTGCTTTTAACATTTCAAGCATCCCACTTACGTTTATATTCCGATATCTCAATTTAAAACTGTCTTAAGATTTTTATAAAATTTAAATGTTCGTATACCAACAGGTGAAAATTTGAAATACCCAAATGTTTATGGCTGTCCTCCTTTTTCCATTTTAATCACTTACATTCACCGCTATTACAAATTGGCATCGTGGTATCTTTTTTCATAAACGTTAACACCCTTATCCAGTAAAATTTCTGAATATTTGGTCCAATACTGCAAAGTCTTAGTAAGATAAGATAAGTAAGATTACTTGCAAGTTTGCAAGAGCATAATAAATGTATCTTTCCACATGTTCCTGCTTCCTGATCGTTTCCTGCAAAAGTTGGTCAGTTTTTATATCTTTTATTTTACTGGATATATACTCGTATATTCCATATTATATTTGTTTAGTTATCTATGATATTGAACGAATTTATGTTTTATTTATACGTCGTACCTTCTATTTTTTCAACTTTCTTCCAAAAAAAAGGTATAAAAGCCCTATTGTAGCGATGAATAGTTGAAAACAGTTATGATTGAGTTAGATTTTATAATTTAATGTATGATAAATAATCAATATCTAATAAGTAAACATTTGTTAACATCGGAAAAGCAACTATTGGACGAAAAATTAGTACTCTATTAAACATAAACTGCATTTGAATAATGTATTAAAATAAATAGGAATGTGATGATGTCTTAAAAAATAAATAAGAAAAAATGCCCCAAAAATAATTTTTTCAGGGGTTTTATCATAAATACAGATAAAAGTGATCCATGAATACCGCCGAAAATGTTGGGTATTTCAATTTATCCTTGAAAGGGCTCAAAATATCAAAGTGGACTTGAAACGAAGATCTTTTGGCTTTAAGGATTCTTTGACGAGTATGATTAAACACCTTTTCAAACGCCTTAAGCTTCAGGAAGAAAGAAAATTAATTTTTTCGTGACGTCCTACAGACAAGAATAAGTTTCATAAAAGTCTTCAAAACCAATTTTTAATGTTACATTATTTAAAAAAGAAAATTACACAACTCGAAATCAGAGTCGATATGAAAATCTACTGGAACTTTAGTCTCCGTATAGAAGCCAATAAATCTTACATTTCTTCATATAACTTTTAGTTCATCCCCTATACTTAATATATGGAGACAGTATTGTTAGTTCAAACTATTATTTGTTTGAAACATCTGAAAAAAATCATGAACATATTTTAGGTATAAAACCTTCTTAGCAACATACTTGTAAAATAGTATAGAACAAATACCATATCTTATTCAAGCGTATGAATACATTGTAAGGTGATGTAACTAAAAAATCATAACCTAGTATCGTAAACTTCCTTTTTTTATTCACAAATGACCAATCGCAATATATTTATTCTGATACAATAATGAAATATCCGATTTTATCACTTATCCTGAAGTGACTCTTCTATACGAGCTTAAGTTTTACAACCGAGGGTGGAAAAAGAGCAAGTAAAGCTGGTACTCAGTAAAAAAATGCTTACATGGGGATTCCACTCCCACCCTCTTTACATTTGGATCCACATAGGTTCAGTTGTGTAGCCATCTTGATTGGTACCAATGATAATAATAATGATAAAAAATAAACTCTGACTTTGATTATATTTTTGACTCAAACTGACTCTTTCCCAGTGATATCAAGAATGACTTAAGTACTGCAACGCATAAATTAAAAGAAACCCCTTTAATTCTGCAGTCTTACGCAATATTATAATCATTTGTGATTGGTTTCGTTGAAATACTAGTAACCTATGTGGACATTACGTAAAGAAAAACCTACTAACATTTTTGGTTCGAATACCAGTTGAATCCCTTTTGAATAAAACAGTTTACTGTAGTAAGAGATGGGCAAAAAGATTAATTTGGGTTCTTGCAGAGTTAGCTTGATTAATGTTTCGCAACGCGTTTTCTTGTTTCTCGTCCGTGGCGCGCTTTTATTGTATTTGACAGAAAAAAATTAGTTCGACAGATAAAAAATCGTCAGAACAATTCTAGCTTGCATTCTCCTGTACGATGAGGTAGGAATAAATATTCTTGTAAAGTACTTTTGTACTTGATTTGATAGTTAAATAGTTCGTATACTAACCAAAGGAAAAGAAAGAAGGGGTAGTGCTTAGTTTATAAATCTGGACTGTTTACTAGAAAGTTACATTTAGACAGTCAATCCACAAGTTGTTGATAAATTACAGGAAATTGTTTTTTTTTATATAATGACATGTATAAGTTTAGAATTGTTTTTACTTCAACCGTCCCTTTACACCTTCTTATATGAAGTGATCCAAACAGTAAAGATGGGATAGCTCCAATCCAACCAGTGGATAATGCGGGATTGGACCCCAAACAAACGAACATTTATTGCATTTAGCTGATTTTAAATCATCCCCTTAAACCCTCCGAGTATAACAATATCCAATAGAAGTCAAAGTTTCCTAAAGAAATAAGAGCTAATATATTTTATTCAAGACATACCAAAAATTAGACACCTGCATGATAAACTAATGGTAACATTCCTTCATATAAAATCTACTATAATACACCAACCACTATAGTTCGGCCACTTAGAAAACGACCTCCTCCAGCATTGGTTTACCATTAGCGCGCAGGTCGTTTTCTAAGCGGCCGAGCTATAGCAATACAAACAATGCAGTTGAAATAGCGCATTGCATTGACGGTTTAGTACATTATGGTGATATTGGCCGATTTGTTAGAAATGGTAAGCCTCTTTGTTTGGTAACACTTCATCTAAAGCTATTTGAAAGTATATTTACTTATTTATTTAATAACTGCATTATTGAATTAGACTTTAGAAAATCTAAATAATTCAAGACCGGAAAACTGTTGATTGTTTGTAATTGGATTGATTTGTAGACATTGTATCAGATAAGGCTTTTATCAAATGAGTACCAAATTCGCTTATTGAAATTACCATGCATTATATATTTATTACAGTCGGTCTTTATAGGTGGGATTTTTACTTAAAATTCCACTCTGTGGAATTAGTTGGTGTGGTACGCAGTCTGCTAATCATAGTTTTACCCCCTTTAAGATAACTCAATTAGTTATAAAATGAATTATTATCGTGAACCTTTTCTTTAGCTAAACAATGTTTGATTTTCAGTAGTATACATTTTTCTATATCGCTCTTTCAGAAATAACTAACAAGTTGTGAAAGTTATAAACAGTATTTTTAATATGTTAAAATCAATAAATTCAGCTTCATGGTCTTTTAGACGTATTTGGATGTGCTATATTTCAAGTAGGAAAACTTTACATTTATATTTTTTTTATGAAAGACAAGCCAATTAAAGCTTTTACCCACTTTGATTAGTCTTCCAATTGGTGAACTGAGCCTGAAGTAAGACTTAACTACTGCTAAAAGGGGAAACACAGCAGCAGTTTCAGTTAAGGTTCAACTCAAGCTACATGTTTCTACAGTTCCAATCTCCCCAATAACCACAGATTGAATCAACCTTTTGAATTCCAAATGGTAGCTTTGATACAAGTTAATTAATGCTTAACTTAACATCTTTGACAATTTTCTTGTAATTATTGGGGATTCTTCTCCAAATAGGCCAACAGGTTGAACAGGTAAATATGTTACTGATCCAGAAGCTATATATCAGGTACTGTATGATGATTAGTTGACTTCTTCATTGCTGATTTTAAACTAACTAAACAGGTCCCAGATTTAATTGTAGGCATAATGTAGAATAATTCTTTTAATACTTTAATACTTTCTTATGAAATGGCGACCGTACGAATGTAACATGGTAACCTCTTTGAATTTTAAAAACTGTTCTCGTTTCTCTTAACAATCAAATACAGCACGACTAGTTTTATATTAGACCCACGAATCTTTTTAATTAATATAAAAACTGTTATAGTACCATATTTACATTCAGGAATTTTTCCAATAGCTAATGTTTGCCAGTGTTGGTATATACGATCACATATTACTTAAAACATAATGCCATGTTTATAAGTGTCTGGAATCAATACATCATAGGAGAGGTGAATTTCAACACAATATAATAAAACGATTAGTTTATTGGCTGAAAAAAACTGCTGCAAATAGTGAAACCATTAGCATACATCACTTTTTGATTCTATTACTACAAAGAATCATATTTACTGAAGATATTTCATTTTAAATTGCACCAACTCTCTGTGTATGTTAAAAAAAATTGCTCAAACGTAAAAAAATCTTATGGAACGTTTTATGTGTATTTTGTGTAAGTAATTGTGTACATGCATTTGTATTCTGTACCCACAAAGCTTATTCGTAGTTACCATTTGTCAACAAAAGAAGTGCATAATCACACCAACATCACTTTCACATGCATTTAAATTGTTTACTATTTCTAAAATAGCTATCGTTTGGATTTCCATAGGGTGGTAATGTTAATGTTGGGGTTTCTCTCTTCTCTTAGATGATTATCTAACTTTATAGATGGTTCTACAGATCAAGATGGGCTTCAATTATATAAAATCACCCATGGTAAAATACCATTTATGATTGACACAAGCTCAACCCTCTGAAACCAAAGTCCCTTCCCTATCTACCAAACTAGCTAAACTATGGTAGGGTAACACACATTCACACATACTGAAACAAGTGGAAACTAGCTGAGAGGGTGGATTGGGAAGAAATAAAAGGCAGGCAGCAAGCAAAGCCAACATAGAATAGACTCACCAGTGTGTGGGCAGCCGCCTGGTGCTGCAATAAGAGGAAAAGGCTTAGCACAGAGGAACATAGATCACAGCACATAGCAGAGCACATAGAACATAGAGTAATGACTTACACAACGCACACGCTACAACCAGTCATACAAATACACACTCACACATACACACTTAATATATTGTGTAAGTGTAGTATTTTGTGATGAAATCCTCCTTAAATACTTCGTAAACACCATATCGTCTTCTCACACCAGTGAACATTGTGTACTAAAAACTTGAACTATGATAAGAAATTGGGTTGGATCAGATGAGTTAGTCACTAATATAAACAAACTAAACATTTTTGTATTTCAAAACCCAATCTCATTTGCATAAAAGTGTGGGAATTCAAGAGCGTTTCTTGAATAGTCGCACTTAATGTTCTAATTCTTCAGTAATGAATTGTAAACTAACATAATTTCTATTAAAAATGATAATTTCTTGTGTTTATTAACCACCGTATTGCTGTTAGTAGGTAGTTCTCTACAGAGAAAGGTCATCTCACATGTGATAAATACTTTTTTTCGTTTTCTAGATAGGAGGATACACTGTTTAAAGTGTGCTATGGACTAGCGACTAATCGCAAAGCAACAAGCCTTTTTAGAAGTGGCATTTCGATATCCAGGACAGAAGTCCCACGCTCTAAACCCAGGTCCAATCATGACCCTTATGTATTGAGAGATTATTTTTCAACAATCAAATAAAAGGTGTACTGACAGCAGTAAACAGTCAAAAGCTGCGCTTTGTTCAAAACAATCTTTTAAAACAAATTGTTTCATTGTTTATTGTTCGTTCACCCACAAAACAAGGCTCCACTACAAAACTCTTGACGATGTATATCAATCAGCTGACGGATAAAAAATAAAAACCTGTTCTACCAATGAACACACGAAAAGAATAATCAACCCTATTCACCCAATTGGGTTGTTTTGATACTAAACCACCCCATTATCAATTTAACAGCCTGACACCCTGACTGAGAACAAAACCTATTACATTCATTTCTGTTTTATTTAATTTCTGATGTGCTATTTTCATCACGTTATGTACGAAACATATCAAGAACAATGTTGTACTCGCCACCTTTAAAACCCATACGGACCAAGGGGAACCCACGGATAACTTCGTTCTTGGCCTTGACCTAAGATTTAATTTATATTAGAAAGACCAGTCATGCGTCGGTCATCCAGTCACCTCCGTCCCACATTGAATGGAGGACTAGTTGAATGTGAGGCGACTGTCGTAGCTGGAGGGTAACCACTCCAAGAAGGTTTAATGATCCTACCTCCTTCTGCCAGAACAGACACCTTAGTTCCCCCAACGAGTGAAAGTATATCCTCAGAACCTGTTATCCGTTGGAAATGCTTTCGTTGGACTACTTGTTTTGCAATAACTCGTATTTTAACGAAATGTATGTATTTGTTAACTACTGCTTGTCTTTTAGTAAGCCTACACACGCGTGTATGATGTATCCTAAAGCTGCTTAACACTAGGTGACATAAATGCAATTAATTGAGCGTATCAGACAACAAATACATAACCATGCTTCAGATTTTACAATAGGATGATAAGTCTACTGTCACTACCCGAGATCACCAACCACCCGTTGAAACAGCTGTTCTTTTGCGGCATCATCCTCAATTATTACAAAACCAATTAAACATACAACCCATACACATATTATCTTTGACATCACAGTTTAAAACACATACTACTAGCTGGCTAAATAGATCACATCAATTAATTGTGACGAAAGGAGTTTTAGTTACATTAAACAATCAATCTGAATCAAACTAATAAGTTATCACAGTTGTCCTAGGAGTATTTTACTTGAGTAAAACGCGTGGAAATGGTAGATTCGTGGTAGATTCTGATGGTTGTTAAAACGATTTATTATGTTTAAAAAAATACCAACACCACAGCAAACCTGCCGACTAAGCGAATTTGCAGTTGCCTGAATTGATTTTTAATTCAATGTTTTAATAACATTAGGTTCGACTACATAGGCTTGCTGCTACAGGGAGGGTAAAAAAGTATGTTTTATAGTAAAACTTAGTATAAAATAAATAAATTTATCAAGTTTGATCAAAATATATCCATAAACAAGCAAACTACAACATTTTACAATATTCTCCATAAGAATAACATCAACATTCTGAAGAGAGATTATATTGACAGCTTTGTGTAATTGATAAGAATGACACAACTGACATCCGCTTGTCAAGGAATTCCAGCTTTAACAGTAACCCCACGACTAATTTATCTAAACTATGCTAGAGGGTTATTCATTGGCACAGAGTCACGGTATGATGACCGACGTGACGAAGGAATAAATAAAACTTACACAGCTTAAGGGTGGACCTCCCTTTGAAGTAAGAATGTGCTTTCTCAACAAACCGATATTTTTCCTCATATGAAAGCATAGATTTCATCTGCATTACACTGATGAAATCGCGGAAGTGTTTACCACAAAAGATCCACTAATACGATTTTTATACTATTTAAAGGGTTATTCCAAAAGAAGAGAAACCAGTTAACGTAGTAATAATAACTCCGATGACGTTCTGTATGTAAAATATTTTATTCATTGAATGATCAACAATATTTTGTAACTAACGCAATTTGCCAACAGCCATTATTGTTTTTACACTTACAGTATTACTTATTAGACAATGCTAATGCTCCAAATTGGTATAATTTCACTCTATTTATCGCAGTTAGATAAATTAGCAAAAGCCTTGAAAGTAACCATCGATTTCGACGGGTTTCACCTAGTGGCTACTAAAACTGTCCGCACGTATGCTCTGGAATGCCCCTATTCCCACCACCCTCCCCATCACTCACTCGACAGGGTGGCAATGAAACCCGTCAGATCATTTTGCCGCTCTCTGTATATAATTCAGCAACATCATGTGGAAGATTTATTCACAATATCACAATATAGTTCCAAACCCGAATTTGTTGTAATTTTATTACTATTTCCCCAAAAATATATCTAGAAAATAAATCTTATAAGCTTCGTTTGAACTCAGGTTAAGAGCCAAGGTTGATACGGCAATGGTTATAGAATTTCGTTTATTTCCTACATCAATGAATAAAATCTAAATTACTTATTCCCTATCTATATTTAAACTATAACTAGCTGTCACCCACGGGCTTCACCCCGTTTGACATCATAAGTAAGTATTAATAAAACTATTGATTGGTTAAGTTAACCTGAAATACACAAAATAAAGTAAAAGAAACAAATAATCACACCTGATTTTAATAAGGTAATAAATTGAAAGAGTAACAAACAGATAAGTACAGCTGAGGTATTTTTAACATTAGGTATTTGAAAAGTTCTCTTTATAAAGGAATTACGACCTTAAAGGGTAATTTATGAAATAATGGATAATTTTGCGCAAGGTTTCTCGTCATGACGAACATTTTAAGTATATGGTTTATGGGGGTGTGACTTGTAGTTTTCTCAAAAGTTCATGGGTACTTTTGGCTTTATATATAGAAGAAGATACGGGTAACGTTGGGCACGATGATTTATAAAACGGCTTGAATGAGTTCCACTATATTGTTAAAAATATCTTAGTTTCAGGCTAAAAACAATATTGATGCTAGCCTCTGTTCTGGAAAAATTCACTATTAGTTCAAAACAAAATTAAAAAATGAACTTGATAAAAGTCATACGACATCGCATCTAGGTTCATCAGTCCATTGTGCTACTTACTGAGCCACCGACTCCCTTAATATTTGCGTTGCAATATTTATTATGCAAACTAATCCTTATTTAATAAAAAAAAAAAAACAACATAAAAATGGTTTAAATTCGAACTTTTTCAATTTTAAGGCATCCCATTTTGTAAACCAAGATGAAAATCATAGCAGCTATACTATTGAGTAATGATATAGAACGTACTGTTAAATAGCAAATGCAATCTTTTGACATTTTGAATACCTTGACTCTCAGAACAATATATAATACAGTTTAATGATATTAATAGATACATATTGTTACATTAATTCGCGAGACATGTTGTCACGTCACGATGTACGACATACTATTGCAGCGTGCACACGGTGTGAGATGTTTACTGTTTATGCATCGAACTCGCAGTCAACAGGTCACATTGTGTTTTTATTTTCGAACATAACACTTTTCATATCACTTGAGAAAATGAATACGTCTAAGATGTTTCCGTGTTGAAGATTTTGTGTTGGAGAATAACACTATTGTTGAAAATAATAAAGCTTGGCATACCTAAATCGTATATGAATATAAAATAATTAATTTAATAATGCAATAGAATATTAATGGTTTTATTGCAATACATTGTCAAAGAAATTATGTTTACCTGTTTATGGTATTCGACGTATTTGTGGGAAAGGGGTGTCATTATATTTTTAGGCTATACTGGGGTATATTTTACGGCTTGTACTTATTCTTCGATATTCTCTTTTATTTCCGACACAGAAACAAAAATAACCGTTTAAGTTACCAAATACTTCACTAACAAGTGGTAAGAATAAATATTAAACTACTTGTTAACACTGTACGTATTTTACGGAAAGTAAATAAAAATACGTTTACAAACTCTTGAAACGCATAACTCACACAAGACATTAAATATATTTATAAAATATGGTATGTAGTTATCGATTTCAATTGGACGCTAGAGATGATTGGAGTGTCCAATCAAAATTCAATATAAACTTTTATATTACGTATTACAAAAAAAAAAAAAAACATATACGCCTATTGTTTTTTACCTGTAAAACATTTTAACTTTTAGTTATGATAGGTACGTTTAATTGAGTTGTAGGGCCAGTTTCTCTTTGGTGGATGACCCTTCTTTTTTTAATATTAAAATGTTTACAGTAAAGCTCAACAACAAATTCATTGTACATAACATAACTATGTTTATAAGAATTTTGGCAGTAATGCGTTCGTGGAACAACGCACCCACATTTTAGCAAACCTATCATGGCTACTTGGCAACC